CCCTAAATTTTCCTTGAGGAACTCTATAGTTCTAGATTTCACGTTTACGTCTTTGATCCATCTGGAGTTCGTTTTTGTGTCACATCACAACTTCTTAAACCACAAAGAATTGTGGTCCAGCCAAGTTGATACACAGCTCCAACTATCACAAGTTTGTACTTGTCCTCATTTGTCAATTGATGTCTCTGGTTCCCTGTTTACAATCTTGTAAACTTCTTTACTTTGGACACTTCCATAGCTGGTTGGTTTCTGGGTTATATCATCATGTGTGTTAATGGTCAGTTGTTGTTGGCTGTTGTTGCTTCTCTGCCCAAAGGGCTTCCTCTAGCATCTCTTGTAAGGTTGGTCTGGTTTTAACAAATTCCCTTAATTTCTGCTTATCTGGAAATGTCCTAATTTCACCATCATATTTGAGGGAAAATTTTGCTGGGTACATAATTCTTGGTAGGAAATTTTTCTCTTTCAGGCTTTTATATATACCATCACATTGTCTTCTCGCCTGCATGGTTTCTGCTGAGAAATCTGAGCTTAGTCTTTTTGGTTGCCCCTGGTAGGTAACTTTTTGTTTTTCCATGCTGCTCTCATGATTCTTTTGTCTTTGGTTTTGGTGAATTTGATGATGATATGTCTTGGTGATTTTCTTTTGGAGTCTATTCTGTTTGGGGTTCATTGGACTTCCTGAATAGATATATTCTCATCTTACATCATACCAGGGAAATTCTCTTCGAACAAATCTTGGACAATTTTCTGTGGTTTTGTCTCTTCCTGTTCTGAAATTTCGATTACACATAGGTTATTCCTTTTGATGGTATCCCACATGAACCGTATACTTTCATTTTATCTTTTTTCTGATTGATCCCTTTCCAAAGAAGTATTCAAGTACTTGCCTTCAATTTTCCTAATTCTGTCTTCCATTGATTCAATTCTACTCCTCTGCCCATCCAATGTGTTATTTATTTCTAAAAATTTAGTATTACCCTTCTGGATTTTTGTGTGTAGATTTTGTATCATTTCTAATTTTTCATTTATTTTGTCATTTTCTTCTTGTATTGTCTTTTGAAATTGTTCTAGTGTTTTCTATATGTTTTCCTCAATTTTGTGAGTGTTTTCCTTGATCTGTCAATTTGTTGAAGACACCTAAATATAAATCTTCTGAATTCCTTATCAGGGAGTTCCGATGCTGTGTCATCTTCCTCAGGGATGTGTTTTGGGTCTGTATCCTGGTCCTTTGTTTCTCCTGCTTTATCTTGCTTCTTTGTGTGTACTGTGATGCTCTGTTGTCTCCGAGGCATTGTGTTTTTGTGTTTATATTTAATTGGTGATTGTATGTTGGAGTGACTTGCCCACAATTTTCATTTTGTTTTGCTTGTAGGTTATCCACGCAAGCAGGGTACTGTGCTGTGCTCCTCTATTCACTAGTTGACAGCACTTATACACTCACTACCTGCCTCCTTTCCTGTTGTCAGCCTCTCCCATATCCCTGCCGATCTTGGCAAACAAAGCCTATTCTTAGGCTCTGCCATTAAAATAGGTGCATCAGGTCCTTGGAATCTGAATAAGAATGCTATCACTTTAGAATCCAAAATGGCTGCCACCTGTAAAGATTCAAAATGGCTGCCCCTTGGTCACTTTAAATATCTAAAATGGCCATGCTTATAAACATTCAAAATGGCTGCACCTTCAGTCACTTTAAATATCCAAAATGGCTGTTGCAAGTAAACAATCAAAATGGCTCCGCCCTCAGGAGAGTGGAAAGTCAATAGCTCAGTTTGTTTCCCTCCTTGTTGTTTCCCTTCCTAGTCATAGGCCACGAGTGCAGTTATCCCTGCAGTCTTTGGTGACCAGGGCTGATCTTTTGGTCAATTCTCAGGTCTCAACACTACTTGGAAATATTCAGTCTATTTGTCCTGTCAGAGTAGCTGACAGTCCGCATCTCTAACCGTCTCTGTACTCACTGTTTTCGTTCGGGTTTTTCCACTAGTTGGTGCCTAATCCACTTCTGTATACTTGCTTTCAAAACTCAGGACTACAGGATTATCTTTTGTATCTCTGTCAATTGGTTTTTCTTTTCTTTGTTGAAGAGGGTCTGTGTTGCTTGTCTGCCTACTCCTCCATCTTACCAGAAGTCCCACTGGTAATAGTTCTGAACAACTTTAAAGATACTTAGATTCTCATCTCTAAGGGATCATCATTTATTTGAGATTTTTTTCCTAGAGATTATTGCATACATATACAAGCATCTATTTATTTTACACAACTAGTGGAACACTAACTAGTTTTGATGCTTTCATTTAAAAAATGGCATTTCTAGGTATTTTCATGTCTAATTTCTTTTTCCTTATCTTTTGATTCTTTTTTGGCCCATGCTGAATTATAGGAATTCTCTACACTAGCAAAACAAATCTTTTTTTATGATATATATTATATACACTCCTGATCTAGTTTTTCATTTGTCTTTGGACCTAACGGAATTTTTTTCTGCAGGCAAAATTTTTAAAAATCATTTATGGCTTTTGGTTGCATATTAGACTCAAGAGCTTCTTCTATGTAACAGGGACCAGCAAATGGTGATCTGTGAATAAATCCAGCCCACTGCCTATTTTTGTAAATCAATTTTTATTGGAACACAGACACAGTTGTTTATGTATCGTCTATTGCTACTTTGGGGTTGTAACAGGGTATCTGAATATTTACGGTAGAGACTGACTGTGTGGCTTATAAAGCCTGAAATATTTACTATCTGGCCCTTCGCAGAATGTTTGTTGACTCCTGCTCTAGACTGTTAAAAAAAAAAAAAAAGGAAAAAAGTATTCCTCTAATGTTTTCTTGAAATGCTATTTTGTATCATCTTTCATCTTTTATCAATTTAGATATTATTGTGGTCTACGCTTGGGATAATTCACCTTTGCTTTTTTCCAGATGGCTATCCAGTTGTCCAAACCATTTACTGAAATATCCCATCTTTCTCTCACTGATTTAAAAAGGTCAATTTTTTTTTCCATTCTAAACTCTTTTATAATTTTGCCCATTTCTAGACTTTCTGGTCTATTCCACTGATTTGAAGGAAATCAGGAAGAAAAAGAAGCATTAAAAAATAATGGCAAATACATTTATGTCAGGTTGTGCTGAGGAGAATGAATATATTAATAGAGAATTATAGAACTATTTATATAATTCATGTCAAATAAGTATATCTCACACTTAATTATTTTTGAGCAGAAATAAATGATTCTGAAGAAGTGACACAAAAAATAGGTTATCTGGGACTGATAGACAATATGGTGAGAAGATTCATAACAACAAAAGTTCAGAACTGTATTAGCTGATACGAGCTCATGACTAAATGCACGGGGATGGAAGTTCTAATCAAATACTTAATTCCTCAGTATGGATAATTTTTATAAAATTAAGGTCAAAATATGCCTTTCTAAAGAGAGATATTTTATGTATAAGCCATTACTAAATACTCCAGAAACAGAGCTAAAAACATGTTTAAACTGATTAATTGAAATCTTGTATTTGTACTTCTACTGTCTAGGCCATTCAAACTTATCTTTATCTCTATATGTGCAGTGTCACAAAAGCCAAGAGGTTATAGTAAACTGCTTTTAAAACATGCTTGGATTTCATAATTTCTCATAGCAAGGATCTGGTCTAGCCAATGACAAAGTGCCTTATGCTAAGAAGTTATCATTACCTCCTTCATATCCTCCCAAAATAACAAAACACAGAAGATTCATTAATTTGTTAGTGCTCTAGATAACAGTTTCAACGCTCCCTAGTCATGGATTATATAAAATCTTTGTTATGATGATCTCAAATACACCTATATTCTCAATAATGTATAATGGTAACCTCTATAATTAACCTCAGGCAGGACTGAAAGTAGTAATATAAGAAGAAGGATGCTTCTCACCATCCTTCTGAGGATGTGCTCCTGTTTCTGAAACTGCTGATGAAGCCACCACGGACATAGGCTGCAAAACAAAAACACATAGACACCACAAAATTTTCAGTTACAGTCACTCTTAAACTTTTGTCCTTGCTGCCTTTCCTCTTTTTCTTTGCAAAAGCGCAGAAGGATAGCATAGAAGAAGAAAACACTTACACATAAGGGATTTTTTTTTTTTTAAGGATAAAACAAAACAAAAAACCCCAACAAAGTAAGTCTGATGTAAAGACAGTGTTTTAATGAGATTTTGAGTCTTAACCATTATGTACTGCTTTCTTGATTATCCTCATAGGGTATTTAACAGTGTAACTTGGATATTCATAGAAAAGTAATTTACATCAGAATATTATCTCACAAGCCAAAAGGGAAAAAGTTATAAACTTCAAGCTTAAAGTACAGCCCCCTCCAACGCAGAAAAACAAAACACTAACTATTAATGTGTGATATACTTCTAACCAAAGGTAAGATAAGAAAGTTATCTTTCAAGTAACATCTTTTCCACAGTTACACCACTGGGTCAGTGTTAGCTTTTCATCAATCCATCTCATTTCCGTTGACTGGAACAATCAGGGACTCTTCTGTGAAAAGCTTTTAAAGGTATTAATAATTGTTTAGGTTATAGTTTATGTTCCATAAATATAATAAATCCGGGTTATAGTAAGAAAAGTTTAGCAAATCTTTGAAACTTACACCAACTGCAGATGTCACTGCAATCGTCTCTGGACTAAGTGTTCTTCTCAATTTAGCATCAAGATCTTCCAGAGGTTGCTGGGACTAAACAAAAACAACTACAGTAAGGATAATCCTATGGCACCTTCATAGCCACTACATAAAGCCAACTTACATACCACACATTATTTTATGCTTTAGATTGATACAACGACTATCGCTTGTAATTTAGCATCTCGCTAAGATGGGCGCTTTCTGTATTGAAAGATATAGTACGTATTTTTCATGAAATATGCCCCATCTAACCCATATGTAAGGAGCTCTGGTAGCATAGTGCTTAAGGCATTGATAGCTAACCAGAAGTCTGGTGGTTCAAACCTACCAGCCACTCCTTGGAAGGAAGGTTGGGCAATCCTACTTCCATAGTGATACTGCCTTGGAAACCCAAGAAGGGGTCGCTATGAGTTGGGGCCGACTGGACGGCAAATAACAACAACAACAAACCCATACATAAGCCAATTACTTCATGTGGTGGTCAATGAAAGAAATGTAAAACATTTAAGGAAAAACTGGTTGCACTGGACTTACAACAAAAATGTTTATCAGTTATCAGTGTAGTGCCTTTCCCAAGGAACTTTCAAAGTTAATACTGATCACATCTAATTTATCATTTCCACAATGGCTTAGAACCAAACGTCATTATTTTTATTTTATTTTGATTTGGGTGAAGATTTACAGAGAAAATTCACTTTCCATACAGCAGTTCACATATACTTTGTCGCATGTCATTGACCACAGTTTACCACAATGCAACAGCTCCCCTCCCATTTCCTCCCCATAGTTGCCTCTTCCCAGTGTTCATCCCTCCATACTCTCCTGCCACCTGAGCTGTCTCCCTGTGCATAAGCAGCCCTTCCTTTTCCCATGATTGTTCTCTCCAGGGCGTGTGTCTACTTGAGGTAAATGTTTAACTCACATGCCTGTACTTTGTTTGGCTGGAAACCACAGTTGTGGGTTCAATTCCAGACCTGAAGGGCAGCTAGGGGCAATAGTCTGAGTGGTTCCACCAGGCTCTATTGGACCAACACACCTTTTTTTTTGAGTTTTGTTCCACATTGTTCTCCCTCTCTTTGCAGGATCTCCTACATCCCTTCTAAGTGGATGACAGTGGTAGCCGGGTACCATCTAGTTCTTCTGGTCTCATAGTTGTATAAGCTGCAGATCAGATGGTGTACCAGTTGCTAGGACTGATTGTTTCCATTAACTTTGGTTTTCTTCTTTCTTGACGAGGAGAGACCCATTGTTGCATCTAGATGGCAGCTTCCTAGCTTTTAAGATCCCAGTCGCTACTCATCAAAGTAGGAGTTGGAACAATGTTTTGTATAGTATGTTATGCCAATTGAGCTTGATGTCCCCTGAGACTATGGTCCCGAGCCCACAGGTTCAACTACTCAGTCCCTCTGGGTAGCTCCAAACCTCATATTTTTAAGATGCAATTTTAGTATTCTATAAAAGTACAAAGAAGTTATATTTGTCTAGGAAAGTATCAACCTCCCCTTAGTATGAAAAAAAATTAATGTCAAATGTTTCTAGGTGACTTGCAGCAACATTATGATTATGGATTCAATTGTGTACCCTTCAAAATATGTATTGAATATCCTAACCACCCTAACCTATGAATGTAGTTAGGAGCTCTGGTAGCGTAGTACCTAAGGCACTTGACTGCTAACCAGAAGGCTGGAGGTTTAAACCCGCCAGCCACTCTTCAGAAGGAAGATGGGGCAATCTACTTCTGTAGTGATACTGCCTCAGAAACCCAAGGAGGGATCGCTATGAGACCGGTCCGACTCGACAGCACATAACAACGCCTGTAGTTATAATCTCATTTGGCAATGTGTTGTCTTTGTTATGTTAATGAGCCAAGATGAGTGTACTGTGTGTCTCAAGTCAATCCATTACAAAATATAGAAAAGAGCAGATTAGAAAAGCAGAGATGGAGAAAGAGAGTTGCCAAGCTACATGATGACAGCCAAGGAGAAACAGCTTAGAAGAGGCAAGGACCTTCCTCCGGAGTCCATGGAGAGAGGAAGTCTTCCCCTAGAAGCTGGAATTCAGATTTCTAGTCTCCTCAACTGTGAGAAAATAAGTTTGTTTGCTAAAGCCACTAATTTATGGGATTTTTGTTGCAGCAGCACTAGATAACTAAGACAATTACAAACAAAAAAACTATGAAGGTTCTTACTTTAGCTATACTGTTCTTTTAAATTTTATTTTTTTGGGGAAAATATGCACAGCAAAACTGGCTCACATTCCAGAGCTTCTAGACATAATGCCATAGGTTACATTCTTAACTTTGTGTCAGCATTCTCATTATTTCTGTCCTAGTTGCTTTACTTCTATTTACTTAATGCCCCTGTCCCTCTCCCACCAAACTTTTCTCTCTTAAGCTTTATAAAATAGCTATTGACACTTCAGTCTTTTTATAATTTTTTTTTTTTTAATTGTGATTTGGGCGAAGATTTACAGAGCAAATTCACTTTCCATACAGCAGTACACATACACTTTGTCTCATGACATTGACCACAGTTGACCACAATGCAACAGTTCCTCTCCCACCTCCTCTCCACAGTTACCTCTTCCCAGTGTCCATCCCTCCATGGGCTCCTGTCCCCTGAGCTGTCTCCCTGTGCATAAGCACCCCATCTTTCTCCCATGACTGTTCTCTCCAAGGAGTTTATCTACCTCAGGTAAATGTTCAACTCATATGCCTGTCTTTTGTTTGGCTGGAAACCACAGGTGTGGGTTCAATTCCAGACCCAAAGGACAGCTAGGGGCCATAGTCTCACTGGTTCCAC